CAGGGGGTTGGGGCGCCGCCCTCTATCACCCACAGAGCAGGGCCGATCAGGGGGTTGGGGCACCACCACTGTCACACTCAGGGCAGGGCGATGGGATGTTCATGGCTCTTACCCCGTCACACACAGAGCAGGGTTCGTGGGGGGGGGGGGGATTTGGGGCACCGCACCCTGTCACACACAGAGCCGCAGGGCGATCAGGGGGTTGGGGAGTTCCCCCCTATCAGGCACAGAGCAGGGCTGATCAGGGGGTTGGGGCACCTTCCCCTGTCAGGAACAGAGCAGGGCAGATAGGGAGGTTGTGGCCCCGCCCCCTGTCACACACAGAGCCGCAGGGCGATCAGGGGGTTTGGGCGCTGCCCCCTGTCACGCTGATCCCGGTGCCGGGAGGCATATTACCCTTTTGCTATATAGAATAGAGGCCTGGTGCACGGGCGGGGGCCGGCTGGTTTGCCCTGAAGGGTGTCCTGGATCAGGGTGGGGGTCCCCACTGGGGTGCCTGGCCAGTCTGGGTGGGGCTGAGGGCCGTTTTCAAGCTGGCGGGTGACTGAAGCTCCCAACCGCTCCTTTTTTTCTTTTTTCTTTTTTTATTCTGGGCCAGCTTTAGCTCTGAGGCCTGGGCTGCTGAAAGCAGGTTTCTGGCCTTTGTTTACCTTCTGTATTTGATACAATGTTGCGGTCCGGCTGGCTGAAGCCCGGCTGACTAAAGCAGGTTTCTGGGGTTTTGTTTAGCTTCTGTATTTGCAACATAGTTGCTTAGAGTTGCAGCTGAGAGACCGGCAAGTCAGGCGGGGAATGTTGGAGTCCGCTGTCACTGGAGCAAGCAAGCCTCCCTGTTCGCTTCAGTGCAGGGCTGCCGGCCGCCATCTTGACTGGCAGTTAATTTGCATATCGCCCTGATTAGCCAATGGGAAGGGTAGCGGATGTACGGCTAATTACCATGTTTCTCTTTTATTAGATAGGATAAGTAAGCTAACTCATTTCAACTTGTACTCCCAAATCCCAACATTAAATATTTAGGCTGTCTTTTATACCTTACAACTGCTCCAAATCATCTTATTATACAGTGGCAGGACTGACCAAAATAACTTAAGATTTAATATTTTATTAAATGTTAAGGGCTTTTTTGCATTAAATTTTTTTCAATTAGTTTACTAGTACATTCAAGATTTTTCTGTGTATTAATTTTAGATGTACAGCATAATGATTACACAATAATGTACTTTACAGAGTGATACTCCGATATTTCAAAGACCCACCTGGCCCCATACATAGTTATTATGATATTATTGACTATATTTCCCATGCTGTAATTTACAACTCAAACTATTCAGTAACTACCAATTTGTACTTTTTAATCCTTTCACCTTTTTCATTCAGTCTCCCAACCTCCTTCCCTCTATCAATAGTCAGTCTGTTCTCTCTGTTTTTGATGCTGGTGCTTTAGATGTCACTGTTATTTTTCACATATGACTGCCACCAATATTAAGAGCCATTGACTAAAGATCTCAACTTCAGAGGATAAAAAGTAAAATAAATAAATAAATATTCCAATTAGAATTGGAATAAATTATTGAAATAAATTATCTGCAGGTATTATACATATCTGATCATTTATTTATTCAGGATTCTTAAAGGCAGCTTCTACATACAATCTATAAATCAATGTAACTAATATTACTGTGTGTGTTTTTTCATCCGAACACCTGTTTAGCACCTTCCATATATTTAAGACTAAGAGAGGCCCTAGGATTACAAAAATGAATTAATCTTAGTTCTGACTCTAGTTGCAGACACTATCATGTAAATAGGTGTAACACAGAATAACAGAAAAGACAGCAGTGGAAAGACCTCTATAGAACAACTAGAGGCCCGATGCACGAAATTCATGCCCTGGGGGATGTCCCTCAGCCCAGCCTGTGCCCTCTCACAGTCTGGGACACCTAGGGGGATGTCCACCTGCTGGCTTAGGCCAGATCCCCCCCTCCCCCCAGGGATCCTGCAGTCAGACATCCTTCTCGCAGTCTGAGGCTCTCACAGTCCAGGACCCCTTGCTCCTTACCTCCCTGCCTGCAGCGGAGGCAGGAGAGGCTTTCACCACCGCCGCTGTGCTTGCCAGCCATGAGCCTGGCTTCTGGCTGAGCAGTGCTGCATTGAGTGTCTTCCCCAATGGTCAGTGCACATCTTAGTGACCAGTCATGCTGTTGTTCGGATAATTTGCATATTAGGGTTTTATTATATAGGATACTGGAGATGAACACCAAGATGGGAACCCAGCAAATGAGACTGAAAAGGAAAAGTCAGAACTCTCAGAGGACCAAGAGTATGTGTCAGAACTTAAAAAACTGACCCCATAAGATTTGTGTATTTCACATATGTAATTTACTTCTAAAAACTGTAAAGAAATTTTGAACTCTACTTAGCAATTTATTGGTGTGTGGTGGTATTGGTTCAACAATTCTGAAATTACTTTTCATGTATTCAAAGAGTAAACAAATTAGGATGAGGAGGCCAAAATTTTTACTGTTAAGAAAGAGGAATATAAATATGTATATGGGAGACTGGAATGCACCCTATGATATTGAATTAAAATAGGAACTATCAGTACTAACTTAGGGTTTTAAATACAAATGTATGTGCACACACTTGCTTGCTCTGTACACTACATGGGCCTAGAAGAAGTTAACACCTCAGTGCCAATGAGCACACTATAGCTTCCAGGTATGGGTCTCTAAATACCATGCTCTATTAAAACTTAAAGAAATGGCTTATTCCAGGGCTGAGGCTGGGAAGTACAAGGTAAGCCTGGAAAATATTTTTTTCTTTTTTTTAAATCTTTATTGTTCATATTATTACAGATGTCTCTCTTTTCCCCCCCATAGCTCCCCTCCACCCAACCCCAGGCCCTCGCCACCCCACTGTCTGCGTCCATAGGTACTGCATACATGCATATAAGATCTTTGTCCAATCTCTTCTCGCACCCCCCACAAACCCTTCCCCCTGAGAATTGTCAGTCTGCTCCATTTCCATGCCCCTGATTCTATTCCATTCACCAGTTTATTCTGTTGACCAATTTTTTTTTATTCATTTGATTTTTAGATTCACTTGTTGATATGTATTTGTTGTCACTTTATTCATAATTTTTTATCTTTACCCTTTACTTCTTCTTCCTCTTCTTAAAGAATATCCTTCAGGCATTTCATTTAATACTGGTTTGGTGGTGGTGAACTCCTTTAGCTTTTTCTTGTCTGTGAAGATCTTTATCTGACCTTCAATTCTGAATGATAGCTTTGCTGGATAAAGTAATCTTGGTTGTAGGTTCTTGGCATTCATCACTTTGAATATTTCTTGCCACTCCCTTCTGGCCTGCATAGTTTCTGTTGAGAAATCAGCTGACAGTCGTATGGGTACTCCCTTGTAGGAAACTTGTTTTTTCTTGCTGCTTTTAAGATTCTCTCTTTGTCTCTTGCCCTTGGCATTTTAATGATGATGTGTCTTGGTGTGGTCCTATTTGGATTCCTCTTGTTTGGGGTTCTCTGTGCTTCCTGGACTTGTAAGTCTATTCCTTTCACCAGGTCGGGGAAGTTTGCTGTCATTATTTCTTCAAATAGGTTTTCAATATCTTGCTCTCTCTCTTCTTCTGGCACCCCTATAATTCAGATGTTGGTACGCTTGAAGCTGTCCCAGAGGCTCCTTACACTATCTTCAGATTTTTGGATTCTTTTTTTTTTTTTTTGCTCTTCCAGTTGGGTGTTTTTTGCTTCCTCATATTTCAAATCTTTGACTTGATTCATGGGATCCTCTAGTCTACTGTTGAATCTCTGTATATTATTCTTTATTTCAGTCAGTGTATGCTTAATTTCTCACTGGTCCTTTTTCCATTTTTTTGGCATTCTAAGATCCTTGAAGGT